CCCGTTTAACTACGCTGAAGATATCGCCAACAAACCTCCAACAACGGTTTGGTAATAGTCCTTTTTCCTTCAGGATTGTCTCCAAGTTGGCCATGAAAAGTTCACACAAGAAGGGGGATAGGGGGTTTCCCATTGGGGCTCCTTTCGTCTGCTTGTAGAAGTTACCTCGGAAAGAGAAGTTGTTTTCTTCCATACAAAGGTGGGTCAGCTAAAGGTACGTTCGAACCTTGTTTCTCCATGCTGCATCCTCTCGTTGTGTTAATAGCCAGTCCTCCAAATGGTTGATCGCTTCTTTGACCGGTACACTGGGAAAAAGGGCTGTGACGTCGAAAGATACCATAATCTCGTCCTCGTTGATGTCTCCTGAAGATTGTAGTTCCTGGGCGAACTCCTGGGTGTTACTAACTGCCTTACTCTGGAACTGATTCGGCATACTCTGGAACTCTATGACTAGCCACTTCGCTAGTTTTTGGGTGGGGGAACCAACTGCAGACACGATCTCTCGTATTTCATTTCCCGGTTTGTGGACTTTGGGGAGACCTTTGCTCCTGGGTAGAATGGGATTGGGTTCCCGTAAACGACCTGCTCCATCTCCTAATATCGATTTGCACTCCTTCAGTGCTTTCTCCACGCGTCTCACTATGTTCTGTAAGGGGTCTACTCGAAGCTGTCTATACGGTCCGTTGTTAATCTTCGTTGTCATCTGATTATCGTAATCGTTCTTGTCCATGATAACGACCGCGTTTCCCTTGTCCGCCTTCACGTAGTATACTGCTTTACTTTTTAGCTCATTTACAATCCGAATTTCTTTTTCGTTGGCGCGACTTTGTTCCTGTACGTCCTTGATTATGTTCGATTTGATAGTCCTAACCGTATTCTGTGATGTTGTTGGAAGCGTCTTGGTAATCGCTGTTTCTACGTCAATGATGATCTGCTCCACGTCTGGCTTGGTTGTAACCGCGTATCCTAGCCCCTTGTTGAGGTGTGTCAATTGTTCTTCCGTGAATGCGGTCGACGATCGGTTGACAACCAACCCATCACTGGAGTGAACCCTTGGCGTCGTGGTGATGGTTGATGGGATCTGTTCACCCGTTCGGTGTGTCGTCCGTCTCCGTTGAGACTCCTATCGTAGTCTGTTTAGCTTCCTATCCTGCAGCTTCCGCTTCCTATCTGATTCACACTCCTCTGCTACCTTGGCCCTAGACAGAAACTCCTGAAATTTAATTGGATACTCCTTGGCCAATTTGAGATGTAGATAATAACATTCCAAAACCTTCATGTCCAGTTTACTATATAGCCGTCTGATGCTATCCTTGATGAACTCTGCTTCCATCCTCTTTACTACGCTGGGTGGGGTGGGTGTCCGTACCTTAATCCTATGGCTATCTTCAGAAATGCTACGTCCTTGTGAAGCGATGCGATGGTTTTCTTCAATAAGATGAATTTATTTGGCTCCGACGGCTTGGTTGCCATGATGAATCCTGATGAATGTGGGTGTCTTAGTGGAATACCTGTATAATGAGAGAGAGAAGGATTAGTATTTTCCATTTTATTCCACTACTTTATTTGCTTATCCTTGACAGATACGCGTATTTCGTCTACAATGTGCAGACTTCTTCAGTGTCTTGTACTAATACTCGTTTGGTGGCCCCTAATGTTGCTTAAGTCAAAGTGTATTTACCAGAATATGCGGAAGAATTATCTATCACGTCTCCTTATGTGCAGCCCATTCGTCATTTTAGGACCACCGAAATCATCTTAGCAACAAACCTGGGGGGGGGGGGGACGTGCTGTCAAATCAGCCTACTGATCATTCTTGTATGAAACTGGTTCCAAACGTAAACAAACGCTGTAAGTTTCTTATGGCTTGTTTACGTTTGGAACCAGTTATGCGAGGCATGCGAGGTAGGCGACGATTGTTCGTATTTGACAGCCACCTCCCCCCTTGCAACAAACAGTTTGATTTATGAAGAGCTTTGATTGTGTTGGTTTATTTCCTTTAAATTCCGTTATAATTGCTTATCTTTTGACAGATACGCGTATTTTATTACCAAAGCTCTTCATATAAGGATTCCGTTAAGAGGTTCGACAAATTTAAAAGATTTCAGTTTGATTTATTCACTTTAATAATGAGAAAGCGAAACGACGAACGTACACTTTTCACGGGTTTTTGTGCACTGTTACTTGAGACAAACGGCATCCCCATAGAAATTGGGTGACTTAAGTAACATCGAAAAATATTTTGATCGGAAGGTGATTACGTCAAAAAGCAATTTGACTGGTAAGTAAATTTAAAAATGGTATGTGATCCTATATTGACATTGCATCGATTGACACTGATAGCTTAACTTTGCTTACTTTTGTTACTTTCGACGTAATGAAAATTTGCTCTTGAATAATGGTATTGATTTGTGTGAGCGTACTTCGGTTCACGTGTAAAGGGCATTACAACTTTTGTTTATACAAGCTTTTCAGCCGTTTTCAAATGTTATGCCTGATTTATAAATTAAATATCAAAATTAAACTCAATATGCGCCAGGTTTGAAAAGAATATTTTTGAACCTGGAAGTGTGTTTGTAATACTAGAGTCGGTGTATTATTCACCGACTTAATGTAATACCAATATTCATTTGATAACATTTGAACACAGACAAACAGACATAACACATTGAATATTTCTCATTGTAAAACATCGTCGCTACAACATTACCGCCATCTGTTGAGTACACTGTGGTGGGTAGTACGCTGAACAGATGGCGGTAGTGTGTAAACGTCAAACGCAAGGGAATTGACTATGCGCGCCACATGTGGCAGTACTACCAACTGAGATACTTTTAAATTGATCGTTAAATGCTTGTGCGATGAACAACTTGTGAGTGTTATGTCTGTTTGTCTCTGATTTGAATATTTCATTTGATGCATACATGCGGGGCTTATTGTGAGTAAAAGTAACCTCGGCAAGGCATTTTTGCCCCATGGCAGTTTCAAAAAAAGTTTTGAGATGACCTTTTGAAAAAAAATCGTAAACAACTTTTGACGATATTTAATTTGTATTACATTGTTGATTTATGAAAGCAGTGTTATAAACTTGCAATACGATGGACAAACTCCTATAAATATCCACTATAGGGCATATATATAACGTTTAACCAAATTCGATCAAATTTGGCAAAGTTGTTGCTGACCTCAATACAGATCATGAAAAAGCAGTGGGGAGAAGGGAGTTGTGATCCAACAAACAAAAACGGCCCACCTTAATAAGTATCCTCTATATTTTTCATTGTATTTTCATTTTATGATGTACAAGGGGGTCAGGGGCCATGTCACCGATGTGAATATTCACACCATCCATAATACACCAGGGAAGGGGAGAGGAGTGAGCAACACAGCATCTTTACCCATGGGGGTTAAAAAAGTTCTGCGAGGTACACTTGTGGTGAACCAGCGGCTCAGGGATTGTAGAAAGGAAAAGGGTTGGGTAGGTTTAAAATGCAGAAATAGATGCCGTCACGATTGAATGCGCATGTTTAAACAACGTTGATCCAGGTACCTATCATATAAATTTGCATATAATCTAGCTAATAAAGTTAAATAATAATAATATAATCTAGTTATGATTATTGTCAATAATACTTACATTTCGATAAAGATGGTGCTGCCTACTTTACCTGTTATGTGATACTTATCATCACAGAGTCCAACCTTGAATCGCAGACCAGGTCCACTAACAAAACACTCGTTCCGAGAAGGGTTTATGGTCTTCTTCTTCTTCTTCTTCTTCAGGTTCGCTCACCACCCGGAATGAAGGCTCGGTGCGGTTAGTAATATCAAACAGTGTTACATGCAAACGAAAAAACGAAAAAGAGATACAACCAGGATTAGTTTTTTAAAGTAATAGTTTCATCTGAGTACCCAACTAACCATATCTCAGTGACATTGTACCACTCTGAACCCACACCTAAAGCTATTTTGTGATTATATGGTTACTTTGGTATTCACATGAAATGTTGTGCAAGTACCAGAAGTTCAACAACGCCCAACTATGGACAGCTCAATGTTAATACCATTTACTCTTTGAATCAGCTTACACAAACATGATAATGTACTAAGAAACATCTAAGAATGTATAGAGATAAAGTTCAAAAATACAGTTTTAACTGATGGTACTTTATAAACTTCAAACTGTCCAATATTGGACCCTGCCAACACACGGCGCCTGCACGGCAATGTGGGCCGTCAGAATGGTTCATCGGTTGCGAAGTGAAGTGCTTCTTAAACTGAAGCGATACATTTCTCAATGTTTCAACGTTATCCTAACGTAAACTTAATATTATCACCCATATGCCCGTCCAAGCCCGAAACCCATCCACCACACAAAATCAAATAAAAATGTTTCTGTATGGCAAACACGTCCAGACATAGACGAGAATATGGGTGTATATCTTCACTGTAACAACTACGGGTAATCATCGAAAATACTTGCATTTTACTCAGGCACTTTTGAGCAAACTGCAATCACTCTCTCATACTCGAAATGTGCCACGACCAAATTGGCACAACGACGCCCTATACGCTCTCTGACCAAAGCGCAGGGAATAAGTATCCTCTATATGAGATCAAATCGCTTGTCCGATGACCGTTGCATGTTTGTGATATAGAAAATGAAAAGTTTAGGATAAGTCAAAACCGTAAAATAAACGACATTCAATTTTCAACCACAGAGATATCTTTGAATATCACATGTCAACCGGATCCAACGACTCTGGAGTCTTGATGAAGATCCACAATAGAAGCTCGATGACAATAGGATTGAGGGATTCTAGTCATGAAACAACACTATTCATAGATTTCTTCATTGTATTCTGTATTCAATTTTCCTATTTATTTACCATTCACTTTTATCCACTTTTTATATCGATAATAGTTGTTTTTTTGTTATGTTCCATAGTCAAATTACATTTACTCATCATTACAAATTATCGTGTATTTTTTTTTCTTGCTTCATTATTTTTAATTGAATCTTTTATCTAAGGTTTCATACACTTTTTATTTTCTCCTTCACTTACTAAAGTATATGTGTATCGTAATATAAATGTAATACCTACTATTGTTCTCTTTTTATCTTCTTGCATATGTGTCCACGTAAGTGTTTGTGTATGTGTTTCAGTTTGCTATAGTGTGTGTGTGTGTGGAAGAGAGGGACAGAAAAGCAGAATAGCAAAAAGCCACCGGAAGCAATAATTTCGTTTCCGTTTTTACTAAAGCACTTGTTTGCAGAGCGTTTCCGCGTTGGTTTCTGTTTTAGAAAGATGGGTCGTACCTAATCCAGGGTGCTTCTAAGCTCATTCCGCTAGTGTGTCACTCCCCAGCGATGTCAGGGTTGGTTCTGTTGGTTTCCTGTAATATGAGTTTTGTTCTTCTTTTGTTTCAGTTTAAGGATTGATTGTTTGATATCATGCTGTGGTACACTTGTTTCATAAATGTTTTTTTTTCCTGTGCTAACCCGTCAATATATAGCTCTAACGTGTAAAAAACCTAGCAAGAATGTTTGAAAGTCAATACCGATGAAACAAGGACGGCCGCTTTTGCTTGTCGCCTGTGGGGAGGATGCAGAGTGCGTAGACACAGAATTCTCCTTCATTTGTAGATGGAATACTGGCTGCGAGTTTACACTGTCACACCCTTAATACACAATATGTATGATTATGAAATTGTTTGCCGGTAGCGAGATAAACGACTCATGATTAATCAGATGAATTTTTCATGCCTCATTTATATTTCTTCCATTTTTTTTTCATACTGCTTGAATTTGTCTACAGTCTGCAATTTCCTGTTTCTGTGACTTTTCCCATGTCTGTAGTGTTTCTCCTACTTAAGTATTAAAATATATAAGTAAATATATTTCATTCTCTTGTCTCCTCAGTTTTTTTCTTCTGTTTAAGGTAGGATTCGTTATTCCTTCGTCTAAGTAAGTGATTCATGGGTTTCGTTTTCACTAGCACAGCGCGTTTGCCCTTAAGGAGTATGTGTGTTTTTGTCTGTGGGTGTTTGGATGTAATAAGTATTTCAGAACTTAGTTGGTAGCATTTTTGCTAAGTAATGGAAATTATTGCCACACGTCTCGTAGGTTCATATTACCGAATTGATTGCTTAGCTTGTCGGGTTGCTGAGTCTGCGGGGGGAAGTTGGCAAAGGTAGCAACAGGCGCGGTCATACCGACGAAGCCCCCGGAGGCCGGGACCTGTTGCTGTTGACTTTGCAGGGGATTGGGGAACTGTATTGCACCGAATGCTGGCTGAGATTGCGTCGCAGCCACAGTAGCTGTTTGGAATGGTCCATTGTTGTACATAAGGTTGGCAGCTTGTGGATTAGCCGCCGCTGCCGCCGGAACCATAAACTGCCCATTGGTCACAGGGAAAGCTTGGAAAGCACCGAAACCACCGGATGCCGCAGCTGACTGGCCATTGTTCATATGATAGGGATTCACCGCAGCATTTGGTGCCGGAGGAAAGGCATTTGGCTGAAAGCTGTTGAAATTGCCAAACGCAGCACCAAAGTTGTTATTCACCATCGTCGTCGGAGCCGAACCGTACAATGCCATAATCTTATCCTTTGTCAGTTTCCCTTGCGCATCGAATCCTTTACTTGGGGCCTGGTTGAAGAAGTCGGCCTCCTCCTTGGCCAAATTGGAGAATTCATCGCCGCCAGCGGCTTTCTCACTTGGCCGATCGGACCCACTCGACAGGATGTCCAATGTGCTCTCGCCGTTCGTCTTTTTGGGTGTCACATCTCCTCCCAACGTCAAGCCAAGCAAATCCGACGATCCCTGACTGCTGCTCACAACAGCAGCAGAATTTGTTGCCGCCTCAGTCGAATTCCTATTTGAAGTCTTGGTACTACTGGCCGGAGCTTTCAGTTTTGGAAGAGGAACAGCAGTCGCCGATGCCGAACTGCTTATACTCTTTTTATCCGAAGAACTAACCAAAGAAGCAGGTGTGCCGATCGAAATGGTTCCTCCACTGGAGGCAGCCTTCTTTTTACGCTTCTGTCGTTCAATCTCCTCGTCGATTTCCTTGTCCCAGTCTACTTTCGGCGGCGGAGGTGGCACCCATTCCCGAGCCAGATACTTTTTATGTTCATACTTGGCGCGGATGAAACTTTCCAGTGCGGAATCGGTCTGCGGTCGACGGAATCCATCCGGTAAAAGTGCCTCGTACACGGCTCTGGCGCGAGAATTGCCCATCTGCTCTAAGGAAACCTACAAACACACCCAACATTACTAATCAAGTAGATAGTTCGGGGTCACAAAAATAACTCACCACTTGCTCCGGTGTCCAGCTGTCCAAGTTCACCGACTTGACCCGGGAGATATGCACCCCCAGATTGCGGTGGATGCCGGCACATCGTATGCACAAGAACACTCCCAGATTCCACGAGGCCCAGCGGGGTCCCTTGGCGTCACAGTCCACGCAGTATTTGTTGTCGTCATCCCGCAGCATCTTCGTCAGCAGCATCTGACATTTCTCCTGTATCTGCTTCTGCCGTTCCGTTTCATTTTTTCGACTCATCTCGACGTTCTAATAACGGTTCGCTTTCTCGCAAAGAACTTCCTCGATCCACTGAATTGCTTTATCTGACAAATAAAAAAGAAGAAGAAAGAACCTAGCCGTGAGAACCATCGTTTCCGGTTTGGGTGAACTTGAAACCTGAAGGCGATTCGCATGAATGCGAATCTTTGGTGTCATACATAATTCACTGACTATATTATAGCGACGTTAACGAGCGGTGGTCAGAAGAAATATTGTTTTTTTTTTTATTAATGATTAGTACAACAGAGATACATGGCAAGAGAAAAGACAATCAGAACTTGTTGCTATACCATGCGAGCGACCTTCACTAACGAAGGGGGTGTTGGCCGAGTGCGTTGAGTATTGTTCTGTTATCGCTTCGGTCAGTCTATGTACTATGTTTTGCGGTTCTTTGAATTGTGATTTTTTTGCATCCGACTAGCCTTCATACACAGAACAGAAGGGAAAGTGCAAACAAATCGGTGAGTTAAAAAATGATACGTTTTTCTGCTCAACAAGCGATGCGTTGTGGTAGCGTTCCACACAGACAGACAGAAGATGCCTTCTACCGCAGGTGCGCTAGTGTTCGCCAATGAAAAGTGAAACCACTTTCTGATCCGAAGTTCCACTTCTGTTCTGTGCTTCATAGCTACAGTGCGCTAGTAATAAACTGAGTGGTGCGAAGTGAAATTTTCTTCATGTTGGTAGTGTTGAAATAAACGTTTCATCACCGTCGGTTGGTAGAGAGAAGTGTCAAACGGCTTTTTGTGCAGAGCCGATTCGTGACTTTGTGATTGTTTGTTGACATTGTTCATAGCTGGAGTTTTTACGGAGTGGAATAAAATTCAGAATGAAGTGTTTTGCTCCCTTTTGCAATTATAAAGATGGACACGACGAAAAGCGAAGCCTATTCAGGTTTCCCAAGGATTCAGCAGTACGAAAAGAGTGGCTCAGTTTCTGTGAGGTGGATCTCAATTTTCAAATCAAACCCAGTGACCGGTTGTGCAGTATTCATTTTGATAAAAATTGTGTAAAACATCTGAATTCAGTTGCTTATCGTGATAAAAATGCAATCCCTACACTGCGAACATATGATGAAGGTCCATTTATCAGTGAAACAATTGACGAAAGTGATAAAGTTGTTAACGATGAAGATTGGCGATCGCCGGAACTGGAAAATATTGCAAAGCAAAGGTGAGACATTTTTTAAATTGAATTTGAAATCAACAAACAAAATAGGGTAGAGAGCCTCTGCGGCCTAATCCCCCATTGTTGGTCTATCGTGCAGGAAGAATTAAAAATAGTGTCGGTCAAGTTGAACACCAAAACGATGAAATCTACGACTTCGGCATTAACGAGTCAATTATACGTTTGGTACGATGCCTTCAAGAGGACAACGTATGAATATTTACACCTTTTGTTCGCTTGTTTTGCTTCTGTCTGCAAAATATACTTTTCATTTCAGGGAAGTCAAGAAAGAATAAAACCCTGACACATCCTCTACCTGACTTGCAATCAAACATAGTAATTTTTATTTGTATAAATTGTTGCAAATCAGATGCAAATATTTAATGTGGCCGACGATATCTATGGAAGTGCTGTCGAAATTCCCTGGGACCTCCAATGGCAACGATTTGACTTCCCTCCAAATCGTGTGAAACTCGAACATGAAAACTCTATAGAACCCCCGTAGAACCTCGCTGGCAGCAACCAAAATATCCAAATCTGTTGAAATTTCCTGGAAATTTTGTACTATCATCACAAATCTCCTTAGAACGTTCTCCGAAGTCACAGTCGTTCCTGAGCGAAAAAATATCGGAGGGGTTTTTTTCAGCGCAGGAGTCTACTTTGGTCCAAAATACGCAATAATACTGTTATTTTTAATTGTTTGAGTCGTTTCGAATCACGTTTTTAAAAAGATCAAAAACATTACTGAAAAATCAGTGCCAACATTTCAAAGGGGCGTAATTGCTTTTGTAAACAATGACTTTAGCCATCAATTTCTCGCGAATGAAATCTTACCTCTTCAAAATAACAATGCTAGCTGGTAGAGGAAACATTCCTCTACCTAATGGTGTCATTATTTTTCATGAGTGAGCTTTTATTCGCGAGAAATCGATGGCTAAAGCCATTGTTTACAAATGCAATTACGCCCCTTTGAAATGTTGGCACTGAAATATTTATTTTTTATTTTGGACGATAACAATACTTCTATCTATTTCAAAGAACCACAATGATAAAAAAGTGGTTCGATTTGACAGCTCGAAAGTGGTTCGATTTTGAGGTCCGTCTTCGCACCACTCAGGTAATAAACTAATAAAGGAAGTGTAATTGGTAAAAAGATCGGTCCATAGCAAGCAGCGAATTATATACCAACTCATAAACTATACATTTAAAAAAACTCATATCGTAAAAAGGAACCTTATCTCAATTTTCAAACAGTATTTCGTGGGATATCGAATGTTCAAATAACAAATTACAGTCGTCTTGTCCCGTGCTTTTTCCTTTCTTACAAAGAAGGGTACCGTTTGAAAAACTGATTTTCCATTAGAGGCCCGGAGGGTCGAGTGTTATATACCAATAGGCTCAGCTTGACGAGATCCAGCCATGTAGAAACTGTTGTCAGTTGTCAAAATAATAATGTCGAAGCAAGAGGAACAGCAGCGTATTAAAATTTTGCTCGCGCATAAGCGAAATCTAAATTATTCCCACGCAGATTGATTGCGTTATAATGAACGATGAAATATACATCAAGGCTTCCTGTCACGGAAAAATGGCTCAGGAACGGTATACCGTCAACAACGTGCAAGTCGTACTCAAGGACAAAAACCTTCCAAACTCGCCGGAGCTGCACCCGATTGAAAAATATTGGGCAATCGTTAAGCGGAACCTCAAGAAGACTCAGAAAACAGTTGGAAATGAGAAACAGTTCAAGGTAAATTGACGAAGGTTTAAACAACAACAGATACAATAACATAATCAGTGTGCACTTAATCAATGACCAATTTTTGACCGTTCCACCCTTTACTTCCTTATTGAAGATGATCTTACCGGACACCTTAGTATTCTAAAAATGTTCGATATTGATTCTCTTCCCTAATAATAATGCTATGGTTAATTTGCTGAACGACGTGTTCGTGGTATCATCCAAAAAATTTGTGGAATAGTTCAATCATAAGGGTTATCGTTCGTTTATGGTATTTTTTGACGTAGGACTACGTCTTTGTGAAAACCGAAAATTGAACATGTAACAAATTAAGAAAGATTTTGAACGTTAATAACTCAGCTGCCCCTGGTCCAATTTCAATAATTTTATCACAAATCGATCAGAAATATGGCTATGCATCGATGAGAATGCTTCCGAATGTTGATTTTCTACAAGAAACTATTGAAAAACTGGTAAATGTCCAGCATTGTCCAAAAGCGTCGAATTAACTAACAAATCCACCAATTACCTACATGCATATGCTGCTTCCCCAGCACAGTCGTCAGAGAGTAGTAAGTAGACGAAACAAGTCGAAGTTGCATTCGCCTCCGATCTTCTGGCGCGTGCGAATAGGGAGGATGGAATTGCGCACTAAGCCCCATATTCAGAACCAAACGCAAATTCTTCGAGATAACCACCATCCGTTGTCTGGCTCGCCGTGCCGGTGTCTGACGTGTCTCCGGTCTGATTTACGAGGTGTGCTGAAGGTGTTCCTGGAAAATGAGATGCGTGATGCTGTCACCTACACTTAACACGCGCCAAGCGTAAGCGGCCATGGATGTCATCTACGTTTTGAAGTGACAGAAACGCACTCTCTTTGGTTTCGGAGGTTAAATCATCACCAACTTTGGCAACAAAACGGCTGTTTTCAGGGCAACCAAGCTTATTACAGTAAAGAGTAGGAATAGAATTCATCTGCCCGTTTGTCTATATTCAGAACCATCGATCACACAAATTGCTCATGTAATCAAACTGGAAGCAGGTGTACAAATTATTTTGATCAACCTTGATCAACTTTGAATCGCCACGGCCGGATATTTTCGATGGAAGAAGCACCAATCTAGCATCTAATTCGACGAAGACGGCAGGAAACATTTGTGAAGCCGAGTTATTTACGAAAGAGACTGTCGATGAAGAGAATCGAGGACCTATTAAAAAGTGACGCGAGATTTGTTTTCCGTACTGAGCTCCAATGCTACCGACGCCAGGGAGGCAGCTCTGGACCCTACTAATCGACCCATCAACTCAACCGGGGACCAACGGCTTTACTTCCCGAAGGAAGGCGTGATCAGAGATGTTATGCCTTAGAACATGCCGGTGGCGCCGACTGAGATTGGACCCAGGCCTGCTGGGGTGAGAGGTAATCACGCTAACCACCGGCGCCGATATCTTTCAAGGCGATATCACGGCGAATGAGAACGACCCAAATTTGAGTTTAGTTATCTCAGAAATAAGAAATAAAGTGCAGGAACTCAGCGATGAGTTTGTTTTTCCAGGTTTTCTAGGATTTTCCAGGGAAAAATTTCAGAATTTGAGAAAAGTAAAGATTGGATTCACTCAGTCTATTGGTACTACTCCGGGACTGAATAAAATTAAACGTTAAATTAAAAAACGTCAATTTCCTCAATTTCTGGCAGATTTTTTAGGTTTTGCACAGGAAACCATGAGACAAATTTACTCATCGCTGAGCTCCTGCACTTTTGGCGATTATGAGTGAACTAAACTTGGGTCGTTCTCATTCGCCGTGTACGCAAAAGGAAAAGAGCCAGTGTCGCTTCTTGATAGCAAACTATTCATAATGGGAGGAGTCTTTGTAGCTTTTATACCACTTGGTTGCACATCATTCTGCTTTAACCTGAAAAGATATAAAAGAGCGCTGCTGTATGGCATTAGCTCATTTTCGCTTCGGACGGCATGGTGAACAGCAATAGCAGCAGTAGGAAGGTGGTGGCTAGTCCACTCCTTCACACCTAACAAGCAACAATTGACTGGTCGTGGCAAAGGAGGAAAAGGTCTGGCGCCAAGCGTCATCGCAAAGTTCTTCGAGATAACCGCCATTGGTCGTCTGGCTCGCCGTGG